CCGCTTGCTCTCTCTCTCTCTCTCTCTCTCTCTCTCTCTCTCTCTCGCTCCCCCCCTTTCTCGCGAATGACGATTCGTCCTCATCGCTCCAATTCGCACCCTTCTACCCAACTCAACTCGGATACAGTAGGACGGAGGAGGAGAGACGCAGGGACGATTGGAACGACGCGATGCACAGACCGACAGAGACGACGGTAGAGAGACTACCACTCTTCCATCTATTCTGCCTTCCATCCGGTCTCTGTTGTCACCCCCACGACACCCCCGTTGACGCTGCCACCACCGCCACCGCCATCGCATCCCGCTCTACCTCTTCTCTTTCGCGGCTCTACGATCCTGCTTGCCTGCCTGCCTGCCTGCCTGCCTATTTGCTTGCTTGCCTGCGCCTGCTTGCGCCTGCCTGCTTGCCTGTCTGCCTGCCTGTCCCTCAACCCTTCCCCTGGCCTACTCTTCAAGCTTGACTCTCTCGCTCCTCCGCTCCCCCCTCCTCTCTCTCTCTCTCTCTCTCTCGTATCTCTCGCTGTTGCCCTCGTTTTCGCTTGGTTCTCTTACGCCACCCCCCCCCCTCTTCCTCCCGTCAAAACCCAAACCATCGACGACCACTACCATCATCGTAGTCACCCACACGGCACGTTTCAGGCATACAAGCTTCAGGCAGGCGTATACCATACAGCAGAGCTATCTGTTGTTATCACCAGTTATTTGCATCCCTTCGTAGTCGGAGGGGCGGCCGTTGCGAGAGAGGACGAGTGTAGATGGAGTAAATGGAGACGCGAGGGAGGGGGCGTGAGAAGCGGCAGTGGGTGCAGAAGAGGGTTGGGAGCAGGGAGAGGGCGCAGGGGGGAACTTGAAATTCTCGAGAGCTTTACTTCCCGGGAATATTACGCACCCCGCTGCGAGCTCTCACTATACGAGCGCGCGACTCGAGCTCGAGTGATTCCTCATCTCTCGCCCTTTTCTCTTAAACTTCCTCCCCTCCTCCTTCTCCTTTCCACCCCGCGGGGCGCGAAGCGACAGATGCGCAACAATGAGGATAAATCTCGATTAAACGACCGCGCGCCTCTCCCTACGACGCTATGAGAATCGACAGTCTCCGGAGAGATCATGTACGTACGTACCATGTACGTATCATGTACGTACTAAGAATGAGATAGGTCGACGATGTCGACGCGACGTGATCCGCGACACTCACTTTCTTCATATAGACGGACAATTGGATGCCTTCTTCGGACTGGACTCTTTGCCATTTCGCCCCGCGAACGTTCGCGAGATTTAGGCAACGCTTAATTAACAGAGTTATTTACAAGTTTTGCCACTAATTTATAAGAGCCTCGGTCGTTAAATGCACATTATTATACTCGTATACGGAATAATGCGAGTGTACGGAATAATGCGGATTCACTCGCTTTCGAGTTGCACGTGACGTATCCTTATGAAGGATAGCGCGTTATCGAGAAAGAAGCCTTATCGAGAAATTGGCCACAATGATTTTCGCCCTCGATTTTCGCACCCTGTGAACCTCGCACGCGGCAGAGGAAGAGAGATATCAGAGAGATCTAACCGTAATTGCATTGTGTTATACCGAGTGTCTATATCGGTGAGAGGCGCTTTCGAATTCCCCCGTCTGTCGGGGGGGTGGTTGAGAGAAAAAAAAGAAAGCAAAAAAAAAGAACAGAGGATCGCGATAGGGAAGAAGATGGAGGAAGGAACACTGACGAATCGTCGGTGTTTAAAATTCTCGTGAGACTTGGAGATTTCGCGCCGTCTTCGTCGTCGGAGTGGTCGCGAGAGAAGACAGACCCGACGACGGTGGTACCGGTGGTGGCAGATAGGGGTTGCAGGGGCCGACCGAAAAGGTGTGTGGTGGTGGCGATGCCGGTGGCGGTGGTACGGGGAAAGCTCTATGGAGAGAGGAGGGTTGCAGAGAGTCGGGAACAGATTGCTGCGGGGACAAATAAGAGTGTATCCACTATCCAGTCGCCGAACGCGCGACGAGGCGAATTTCGGGTAAATTGTTTCCCCGCGCACTCTCCCTCTCGCTCTTCCTCTTCGTGTATCCTTTCGCTACCTCCACCTCCTCGAGTATTCCAGTCCGAAGAGCCCGAGGAGCCAGATGAGAGACTCTCGGTGCCTTGGTCGAATCGTCGCGTCGCGTCGCGTCACGTCGATTGAAATTTAGGATACTCACGATCGCTCCTGTAATGCCCTCCTTTCCTTTCTCATTCTTCCGGCCGACTTTCTCTCTTGGGAGCAACGATTTCGGATTGCAAGCCGCTCCCAAACTTCATATCCTTCTCCCCTAATTTACTTAGAGGTTATTCGTCGTTGAAAGAACGATCGTATATATCAAATTAAAAATCATTTAAAATCTACTTGAGAGATATATATATATATATGTGTGTGTGTGTGTGTATAAACTGTTAAATATAATGTATATATAATATATAATTAGTAATAAAAGATAGATTGTAGAATAAATTTTAGGACGTATCTTTGTTAATCAGAAAGCTGATATCTCGCAAACAACTTGACAATCTCCTTTATTTCTCTTTATTTACGTATCTATATGTTAAACTCGGACCGAATTGTGGGAACGCTTAGTATTTTCAAGCACATTTGAAATTTTGAATGAAAGACTCGTTTCCCATAATGTATATATATCTTTTTCGATTTTTTCAAAACACCACCATTTTTATTTGCGCAAAATTTTTTATTCGGAATAGTGTCAATTCATATTGAAAAAACTCGGGCGAATCATACGTTTGGCAGCACACAAGATATGCGCACGCGCGTGCGCGCGTGAGAGAGAGAGAGAGAGAGAGAGAGAGAGAAATCTGAGAAATTCTTTATATAATTAACGAGCGGAACGTGTCGCGGGTGCGTGCATGGATTTATCCTGTCCTCGTCCGACGTTCACGTTGAATCAGTACCCCCCTATATAGACTATAGAGAGTACACACACATATATATATATATATATATATATATATATATTATATGTGTATATATAAAGAGGTACGAGAGGGTAGAAACGAAGCGTCGCGTCGACTTGGGCGACGAGTGGTACGAGCGAGCGTTTCACGCGTCGCTACCCCTCCTGCGGTGGACCAATTAGCATCGTTTCACGTACGGTGTGACGTAAGTGGTCATCCAGTCTCTTCTATATCGGGCAAAGAGAGCGCGACTGCGCGCCGCAGGAAAAGTCTCGATAAATAATAAATGCGGACAACGCGCCGCGATAAACTTTCGGCGCATTATTTATCTCCCTCCCATTAATCGACCGCTCGTACGTTACAAAAGAACTAATTACCACCTTCGAAGGAAAACAGCCTGACGGCTGTTAGCTGAAATTATTTCTATGTCGCGTCGTTATTTATTAAATTAAAATAACATTTAAAACAACGAAATTGTTCAGCTAGCTAACGAAATAAGTTTAATTTCATTTAATTTATCGCACTCAGTTTGGAGATTTGATTTGTCAATTATATCGTATAATGAATTTCGCAAATGAAACATGCAAAGTTACCTACATCGATTCCTCCGTGATGTGATTTTTAGAATTTTTCTAGAAAAAAATTATTATTTTCTACCGCATTTGTTTGTCGTAGAAAATAATCTTAACGAAAAACGACGTCTGCAAATACGACGGTGGTACTCTTTTCAATCATCGGCGAACGTCGGCGAATTTAAGGGAGTCGATGTGTGTTACGTTCACTCATGCGTGTACATACGATTCTCTTGTAACTACTGAAAAATGTATATCTCTACGCCCCTCGAGCTTTCTCGCACGCGTAATGCGTAATGCGTAATGCGTAATGCGTAATGCGTAATGCGTAATGCGTAATGCGTAATGCGTAATGAAGAGAGAAGAGCTCCGATATCCTTTAACATCGATACTCAAATCAAACGTAAAGAGTTCGATCACCATCGGATTACTATACTGTTAACGATGGAGATTGATTTCCTTTTCGTGAATATTCTCGCCTTCTTCTCGCTGCCTCGTAAGAGAGCTTAAACCCGCTTAAAATTAAGTCTTATCTAATTTGCCAACAATTCAACTTCCTGTCTCGCAAACTGCATATTTATGGAACACATGTTTCTCCTCCGGTCCGTCTAATGAAAGAAAGAATGAAATCGAATGCGTGTGATACGATTAAGAAATAATTTCTTGAAATAAATAAGATTTCCGAGAGAATAAAGAAGGGTAAGTATCGTTCTTAAAAGACTTGTATCTATATAATACTCGTAGATACAAGCGAGACGGTGAGGAAACCTCGCGCTCTTATCCTAATTAAGACATGACGTTCCATACGCTCTCTCGATCATTGTTTATAGCGCGAGGAGCCGCGGGGCAAACTGTATGACGCGTAAACGCGCGAGTTTTTTCAATTCCATTCGGCTTTATATAAACGGAGGTATGCGCGGATCCCTTCGGAGGTGGCGGCGACGTGTAAACTGCACGTACGTCTACATATACTCGCAGATTATATACCCTCGTCGAAGAGACACGTCGCGTCGTGTCGTTTCGCAGCAAGCGCGAGAATGGAGCTATATACAGAAGCGGAGGAACGAGCCAGGGAGAAAGATTCCTCCTCGCCTATATCTGTTTTCCACTTTTTTTTTTCCCTCCCCCTAGCAGGGCTACCGCGCGTTTCGCGCGCGCGACAGCGTCGCGAGAGAGAGAGAGAGAGAGAGGGGGGGAGGGAGGGAGCTGACCGCGGCGCCTCTCTCTCTCCCTCATCCCTCAACATTACTCTTCCCTCTTCACTTTTTAGTGCCGCCCCCTCCTTTCTCTATCTGTCTCTATCTTCCATTCTTCGCGCCGCAAACGCCCGCGGTCCCTCCCTCGCGCTTCCTCCCTGCGGCACGTACCCTCTCCCACTTCGTCTTTGCCTCGAAATGTGGCATTCAACAGGGCTTTCCACGCTGCTTGCGGTGGTGCGGAATCCGCGCGCCGGTTTGCCGCTACGCGCGCGGCCCGGCGTGGCGGGGGAGGAGGAGGGGTGCATCGGGGGAAATGATGCGCAGATTGGCCGGATCATCTCAAAAACCACCACCCTCCCGCCTCCTAGCCCTCCTCCGCCTCCTCTCTCTCTCTCTCTCTCTCTCTCTCTCGTCCCCTCGCGCGCTCGCGTTCGTCCTCTGCCTACTACCTACTACCTACTACCTACTACCTACTACCTACTACCTCCCTCGCGCGCTCTTCCGCAGCGCTCCCCGTCACTCTCTCGCACCCTCGCCTCGTCGCCGACGGTCGCCAAGGGATGGAATACAGCCCCCACCGCCGTCGCCACCGTCACCGCTCTCTGCCGCCGCCGCACCACACAACCATCCCGACTGCCACGCAGCCGTCGACGACGAGTGACTGAGTCCTCCGATTATTATCTCATTTGCCGCGACGACTAGCGGCACGCGTCCAACACCTACTTCGTGCCATATTCTTGGACGACGGCAGAGGGATATCCGTAGATCGTCTAGATCGTCTAGACCGTCATCCCGTGGTGGACATCATCGTAATCATTTAATACGAAGCGGCGCCAACTTTGAGAATCCCGCCACTCGCCGTCGTCGGTGTCACGCGTACGGGCGTACAGGCGTACAGGTGAGTCTACGATCATCCGCGATCATCTGCGACCACCTCTTGAGGACCGTTCTTTCGCACCCCCCCCCCCCATCCTGCCCCACCACCGAGGGTCATCGACTACTCGCGCCGGCGATGATACGGATGTTAGCGCCAAGATTGGCACGTTGGACCGCGAAACGAAGGGCACAACTTGTAGGACGATTTTTTTCCGTGACAGCGCAAAAGTTATACTCTATATTTATCTTTCCGTCATAGAGCGGCGATCGCGCGTGGAGACCGGAGTTGATTAATTTTCATAAAATGAGTAGGTTTTTGTGTTTTTTTTCGCGCGGTTTAATTGCCGCGATTTCTTTTATTTGCGCAAGAGTTTATTTGCGAAGATTCCTGAGAAACTAATCTATCCGCGTAATAATTTTAATCATCTGTTTCATCATATTCAATTTTGGTTGGAGAATAAATTGAGATTCTTTTTAACGTACGGTACTTAGGTATCTTTCTGCACGAAGCAATTCTCTGTTACACCTATTACGCGCCATACGTGCCGTACGTGCCGTCTAATGACGATGCTGCGACTGTACCGCTTAACTGGTTATTTTATGTACTTCCCGTTAAACATCTGCCGTGCATATCGCATCTGCATGATAATCAAAACGATCGATTCCGCAAACGGGTTGTTTTCTTTTCATGTACAAGAATATAACGCAATTAACGTGATTACCGCGTGATGGCCGCAATTTTCATCGCGTAACACTCATTGTATTTCTTTGGCGTTATAGGTAAATACGTCTATAACAGGAGTTCAATCTATATATTCTTTCAATTTTCGCAATTCGCTAAAAAAAAATCTTTGATTTAATACTGAAATAAGTAACACTTTAAAGATTTCTATTACTAAGATATGTAAAAGAAACCGCCAAACACCGCCGCTCGGCCGAGACTATAGATATATTTTGATGTCTAGTAATACTTGTGTGTAAATTTAAAAATTTTTCACAACAAGTTCTTACGCATTATATATTAGGATAAGTACTAGTACCCAGTAGATATTATCAGATCGATGATCAGTTTAATTCATGAGATTATTATTTTAGTTTATGATTGCGTTGCAAGTTTTGACAGCATTCGGCACGCAGTACTTACGAGTATGTAACTGAAATAAGATATATATTTAAAATTTGCATGGAATAATATATAAAAACTAAATATAATCAATCTAGCCTCGATCGATTTTGCTGGTTTCTTATACCTTATATTTCATTTATTTATATATAGTAGTCCTGTTTATAACTCATTATTATTTATTAATCAGCTTTATTAAATCGGTATTAATTCTTTCTTTTCGGGAATAAAAATTATCTTAATTTTTTTGTGTAATCTCAATCGGACGTAGGTACATCTCTAGAACATTTGCATTCTGATTTTGAGATAATGTATAAGAGAACACAAAGAATAAATAATGTTGAACGATAATAATAGCAATAACAAAGTGTCAAGTGTCATAATATCTGTTGGAAAAAATGGTCGGGCGTACATGATATCAGACGGATCATCTTATTTCTTGGGGGTGCAAGATTTCAAGGATACGTCCGAGAGTTATTCGGCGAGCGCGTTCCTTCATGTGACACCGAGAATAGGACGTTTGAATTACGCAGAGAGTTCAACCGTAAAAAATGCCCAGATTCCGCTGTAACCGTCGGCTTTTTCTCTCTATGCAAAGTAAGAACGAGAGTTTGCTGCGAGAGCGTACGTCCCGCAATAAAAATATTTATGTGAATGATGAAAGAATTGCACGTCGCATCTCTTTTCTCAAAGTAACATTAAAGAATCTAACTGCGTGAAGATAATCGGTATAAAAAGATTTTAAATATTATTATACATATACTCGTATAGTGCAATTAGTGTAATGAAACTAATTTATTTGTTTTGCAATGTAAGTCTACTTTTTTAAACGTCATAAATCTTCCGTAATGCATTATACATTGATATCCATCTGCAAAAAATATAGAAAGGTGGCCAACTATCGAAAATAACGTAAACTACCTCTTGAGGACGGACGAAGCATCCAACAATCGGTCGTCCGCGATATCCAACAATGAACGAAATGAAACAGACTGTCGCAATTAAATTGGATGACGGCAATCGTATCAAAACACTTCTTTTACAGTTTTATATATACATTTTAATACACTAATCTCAGAGTGAAAGAGAAAATACAGAAATGTAAATGACAATGTGATAGCGTGAAAGGAAAGAAATATACGAGTAGTATGCGTATATTATCAGGTTGAATAGAAATCTGCACAAATAAGAGATGCGAGTGTGGTTCGTTATTTGATACGTTTGCGTCTCGCGATAGCGACGGAGATAGCGACGCGATAAAGTGAATGCCGAAAGGAGGTTACAGGGGTAGTAAGAAGAGACGAGACGAGACGAGTTCACAAGGAAGAAGAGAGAAAGAGTTTCGGATCAGAGTTTGAGAGAAAGGCAGAAGGCGA